GAGGGGAGGGGGCGGAGGTGCGAGCCTCTGCCGCGAATCGCTGGTTACTTCGGCTGTGTCACTAAACTCTGCCCTGGCACTGAAAGGGACCATTTCTTCAGAGGCGCTGTTGCCCTGCCCTCTCGCTTGGGCTTTGCAGATACATCTGTGAATGTAGTTTTAGAAATTTTCGTCCTTGGTAGTGAAAAAGCGGTTGGTACAGCTCGAAGCCGCGTGTACATTGGGCCTGTGAAGCGCTTGCAGCGGTCATTGGCTTTCAGTAACTCAGCGCTCGCTTTGCAGCCTGTGTCTTGGTTTAGCCTCGGCAGTCACACAGACCTCCCTTCGGCCAGAAAGCAGGCCCTGCTGCAAGGAAGCTGGCTTTTTTTTTTAAATTATTTTTCATTTTTTAAAATTAAGGCTAAATTATAGTCAGTGGTTTCCTGATACTCAAGTTGTTGGTTGTTCAGTGGAACTTCTCTCTCGGTTTCTCACCCACTCTCCCCTACCTCCCCTACCACTTCAGGAGGGCCTGTTTTTTCCTGTAAGTCATTACGATGTTCCCAACTTTTGGAATACTGCAGAGAGTTTAATTCTCTGCACTATTTCAGGGGTTATGTTTGTAATGTTTTCAACTGCTACAGGAAAAACAAAACCCTGAACTCATGTCCTAACAGAAGAGAAGGAAAAAATGATTTTCAGTTTCCTCTTTTAGAAAGTAACTACGCCCACTTCTGGTTTTGGTTTTGGATAATAAACAATTAAACGGAAACATTTTAAAATCTAGTGTTCATCTGTAACTTTTAAGTAGCTTCCTTTTGTTCTTTTAAGGAAATTGAGAGAACTCCACATATTCAAAAAGGTATGCTTGTATGTAAGAGTTTGCCAAATTTTGGCCTCTGTTAGGAACACAAAATGTACAGCTGTCACAAAAAGGAGGTGGTGAGAGGGAGGGATAGTTAAAATGTGAATGACACAATGAGTCACTCCTAGGTGAAGGAAGGACAAAAGGAAGAAACAGTGCAAAGTGTAAATCAGTAGTAAAACACAGTCCAAAAGAGATGCATTCTGGGTTAGGCCTTGACATGAGAAGCTAAGGAAGAAGCTTGTAAAGCTAGTTGAAGGGAACACCTATATCAGGATGAAAAGAGAAGAAGCTGGTTAATGGGCAGAGTGAAAGGACCTGAGGTGCTACATTGCAGGAGATAAATCCGCATACCTGGATAATGGCAGTCTATTTATCTTATGCCTTGCTTCTTTTTCTGATTACTGGAGACGCATGACATAAATAATTACAGTAATGAAAAGCTTGTGGTTTTAATGACTCCTATCAAGCTGTAGGCCCTTGCTTACACAAGGATTTCCATGCAGCCGTTCCCTTACAGAAAAGAAACATAAAAGGGTGTGAAGACCTTACCAAAACCAAACAAACAAAAAAAGACTTAGGATCCTGCCACACTCATCCATTGAAATTGGTAAGATTTTTTTTCTAATTTTCACTGGGAATGTGGAGGAAGAAGTAGCATGCTAACATGAAGATGACATCAGTTGGTAATAAGGTTCATTCAGTTACCTCTATACTGTAAAATATGGCTACAGTCAGGAATGCTCTGAAGACAGCATTCTGATGCTGCTTGTGCTCTGGCAAAACTACTTTATTTTTAAATATATTTTTGTGTGTGTATCTTCTATTAATAGGATCGGGTGGGTTCAGAAAACGAAAGCATGACAATTTTCCACATGGTCAAAGAAGAGAGGAAAAAGAGAATGTTAATCCGTCTTCAGCTCTGATGACATCTTTTAAATGTAAGTAAGCACTTGGAAAGCCAGATTATGAAAGTATGGTATAGAAATTGCTAGGAAATTACTCGTATTTAGTGATGGAATAAACCGGCTTTCTCTGAGGGAGAAACTAGAAACTAGTTGGACTCCATGCTGCATATGTTTAGAGCTTGGTGTTTCGCTTTTTGTGCAATAAAGTCTCAAGAATGGGATTTCACATAGCTCAACCTCACTCATGACTTGCTCCCTTTTTCATCCTACCTGCTGTTCCCCCTCCGCACCCTGCCTGTGCCGAACCTGATGCCAAGCAAACTGCGTAAGTGTTCAGCCAGACAAAAGGTGACTGGACCCTTTGGTGGCAGAAAACTGTAAGATCTGCAGAGGTGTAATGCAAAATGAACTTTCTCATTAGACAAGTCCTAACAAGGCAAAGTTGAGTTTCAAAAATGAGAATCCTTGACAGAAGGAAGGAGATGTGGTACAGGGAACAGATTAATTCTTGGTGTAAAATTTTCCCCATGCGCCCTATTTTTTATGAAGCTAAGGAGGATTAAGAAGTAAGAGCTGGATGGCTGTTGTAGGTGGTCACTTCAATATCGTATAATTTCCTTGCTTTCTTTAACAGATATTTCTTTTTTTCTCCTGTGTAAATCAGCTTGGCAGATAATTAAATTTGACCTCTGAACTTCTATATTGAATAACATACATATACTTGCACTTGAATTGAGTAGTGTAACTGTACTTTCAACTTTAATTTTTCACCCTCAAGCATATCATAAGGTTGCCATTAATTCAAATTCAAACCAACACTTGTTTTCCTCCTTTCCCATGAGGTCCAGTCAGCAGCATTTGGTTAATTTCAGAAAGGGTGTAAGTGACACGGTTTATTATGCTTTTTCAAGATCCACTCTTTGTATTGCACTACTGCTTATAAGCTCCACGTGAAGACATTGGTGGTCTTTGTCTCCATGTCAGGCACAAGTGTTAAGAAAAGGTGTGCTCCAGATGACTTACGACTGAGCAAACCATGTAAGGTGAACCGTAGTGGCACATTATTTCTGTGTATGTTGCCTGAATCTAAACAACTTAATGTGTAAAATTAAATGGGTATACACATTTTGTCTTTTTCATCTCTTTGGAAAAATGTTGTACTTGAATTGACATAGTTGTCTGATGGCACCAAAAATTTCTAAAAAATTAATGTGTTCTATGATGGTAATCAAAATCAAACAGTATTCAATTACATCTTTTTTTGCTTAATACATTTTAAATATAACAGCTCAGTGATACAGAAAGTGGATAGTATCTTGGTTTGTGAGGTTAAGATTGATTGTGTCATTTTTAATGGTCTGATTCTGCACCACCAAAATCAATAGAGTGTGAGTCTGCTTTCAGTGATAGATTAGATGGTAAAGTGAAATATGTGGAGGAAAGGGCTGTGTGGTCTCGATGTGTTAGCCTGGAGAATCCCTCAAGTAGTAATCCTTAGCAATTGTAGACAACAATACAGTAGGTTTTCTTACATCCTTTTAGGCTGAAGATGACTGTATTCGGCTGTGTTTTACTTCAGGTGACAACACTTCCTAGTAGTCTCTAACAGGTTTAAAATCTAACATAGAAGTCTAAAAGCCACAACTATCCAGAAGAGATCAGGGGCATTGCTAGTATTGTAGATCTTCAGAATAGTGAATTTCCTGGTAGATTGGTAAATGGTCATTGGAAATGTCATATATGGCATCGTATGAAGAAAAGTACCAGTCACCCCCCTCAAGCTCCTGTCACTATGATCTGAGGGAAAATTTCTTCTTGATGATAATTCAGTGGTGGACTTGACTCTCAGAATTTGGAAGAGACACACCAGTCAGACATGTGAAGGACTTAAAAGATCAGTAGGAACATTTGGGACCTATCGTAGGGTTTCAGAAGAGGATTGAGGAGAACAGAATAAAATTAGAGGAACCAAGTTTTTATCAAGATGATGAGAAATACAGTTACTTTTGTAGCTTCATCTAAACTTTGCTTGCCATCAAACTGCTATGCTTTTCTAAAGGATATTCGCTTGTCAGACCATTTAAAAATGTGACCTCTGCTCGTTTTCACCTGCTTTTCACACAGACATTTTAACACCTCAGACAGTTATGCAGGAAATGTGTTAGATGTTTTCTAAGTATTTATTAATTGTTTATTTAGCGGAATAATGGTCTATAAAATGATAATGGTATCTGTGACACATTCATGTTTGACTGTGATAACCAGATACACATCCTCTCCTCTGTGTTCATTGTAGTTAGAATTTACATCAGTATGTCAGAAATCTTATTTTAAGTAATTGACCTCACTTTGCTTTGGTACTTCTAGTTCTTAGGGGTGTTAAAATACTTGACTTTCAGGCAGGTCTAGTTGGGATGTGAAACGCAGCCTTTCTTTTTACTAATTGGTGCATTTTTAACAGTGTATGTGCTTTAGTCAGGTCACTTTATTTTTGTTTGTTTGTTTCATTTTAGAGACCGTTGAATCTTATTTACTAATGATTGTAGGGTTTTATTTTTTAATTTATCTTGCTGAATTTGGGTGAAATTTTAACTCAGTTTCCTGAAGAGCAGTGTTGCAGAATAGATTTTACTAGTTAAAACAAGTATTTTACCTTTAAAGTGTTTGAGCTGCCTTAAATCAGGGTCGATGTATATTTAAATCTGATTTATTAAATAAAAAAAAAGTATTAATGATGAATTTTGCAGCTCTGGCAGGTGGCAGGCAGTGGTGGCCTCTGCAGCCGTTCCCCACGCAGGAGCAGTTGCGCTGCCCATCTTGGGAAAAGGCGCTCTGGGGAAAAGGCTGGTGGGGCTGGGGCCCACAGGCAGTTTCTGTAGCACAGGCTCTCTGCTCTTCCCCTGTGCTGTATACATGTGATAACCATGCTTGTTACTGTCATGATTGACTCTGCAGCATTTCAGCTGGAGCTTGACACCAGGCATGATAAATATGAACGGCTTGTGAAGCTCAGTCGTGATATAACTATCGAAAGCAAAAGAACGATTTTTCTGCTCCACAGGTTTACCAGGTGAGTTACATTGAGCATGAAAGTGTTCACAGAAACATAGAAGCTTCCTTGCAGTGTACGCTGTATTTGAGATTAATAGCTGCAATGTTCTGTTGAGAGGAATTTAATTAACTTCCCATAAACATCCTTTAGGATGGATGTGCGCTAATGAATGCAGGCTCCAGTTAGAGAATTGAAAGGTGCTGGTTCAGCTTTCTCCGTTGATTTTATTGGCATACTAAAAAGGATCAGAGTAGCAGAGTATAACAGCGTATGAGAGCTTTCTAGCTTCCAGCAAGCTGGGAGAAGAGCGTGCACCCTTCCTGCAGGTTAGTTGCCTCTGCAGTTACTTCCCCATTTTGTTTTTTGCAGCTCCACCCTAGATCATCAATGCAAAGAGGAGGTGACTTGGGTTCTATTTACTTCAATACATGTTGCAATCTAAGAGGCTTTTGTGTGAAGTTTTCAGCTTCTACATGTTTTGCATTCTCATGGGCCTTCAAGCAGTCTTTGGAAGCCACAGACAAACTAGAATAATAACAGGAAAATTTGAAGCTTTGCGTAGCCTGTTGTATAAAATATTTACTGTATGTGTCAAACATTGGTCTTTTATGTTACAGTTATGACAGCTCTCCCTGTTCCTTTTCCCAGATTTATTTTTTGTTACCTATCAATGCATTTCTGCTGTAGTAGTAACTATTTATAGTTACTGTAGTAGTAACAGTTATAAATAGGGATAATGAAGTTGCCCTCTTTTTAACTTGGTTGTCTTCTGTGAAGAGGCATTGTGGTAATTCTAGTAAGTGCTACAGCCTTGACTGTAAATAGCTACTCCCACTGCAGGGGCTAGAAATGCTGGGAACTGGTAGGGGAAAGAACAACAACAAAAGAACTCCTCTTTACTCCAAATTTTAGATTCCTGTTTTGTAAGATATTCCTGGTTTTGTGAGAGTGGAAGCTTTCCATGCTGTATTTTTATTTCCTTCTCCTTTGCTTTTCACTATTATTGTGGCTTTACTTTCAGAAATCTGTTGTTTTTTTTTTTTAAATGTTTTCTCAAGACCAGTCTATCAGTACTTCCTTAAATAGACTATAAACTAATATACCATATAGATTATTTGTGAATGGGGGAGGGGGAAGTTTAAAGGACATTAGATAAACTAAACTTTAAATGCCGAGCATATATTGTGGTTGTGAATGAGATATTTCAGCTGTTCCCGAATAGCACAGTCTATAATTACTTCCTAAAAAAAAAAAAAAATCACATGTAGAAGTAAATCAGGTATTGTATTATGCAATACTGTAATGTATTGCAAAATGTTGATTTTTTTTTTTTTTAAGAGGTTGAAGGACTTCTGCAAATACTTTTTTGAAGCCTTTGCAGGTGTTTCTCATTGTTCTTACTTAAGCGATAATTTCAAATCTGCTCTGGAATAAATATCATGCTACCAGAACTGTGTTTGGCTGGTTGATTATTTGTGGCAAGAATCTTCAGAATTTCAGAATCTGCAGAAGGTATCAATGAAAGTCAAACTGTTTCTCATTCCGCTATTGGTTTTGTCTTTTCCTGAAGCAGTTGAAAATGTATTGATTAGTAAAAGGAAATGTGTAATATTTTGTAACTCTTTGCTTATATTCTGAGAGCTGCTTTTTCAGTTTGTGTTTTATAATTGCAGTGCTCCCAATGGGGAAGAAATACTAAATGAATCTGAAATCAAGCTAGATGCTGTCCGACGGAAGATTAAGCAGGTTGCACAAGAACTGATCGGAGAAGACATGTATCAGTTCCACAGAGCTATATCTCCAGGTAAATTATTTTAAATAAAGAAAGTATAATATTTTGCACTAAGCTTGGTTTCTTTTTATATAGCAGTGGTTCCTCTTTATGCTGCAGGTCTGAATTGGTCACGCTTCTATGATTATAAATCAGGACTCAGATTAATCTTTGTTGTTAGCAAAGTTAGCTCTGGTATTAGAGAGGCTATTGCCCTACAGTTGTCTTATCATTGCAGTTAAATGAAGACTTAAATGGGAGACTACAACTGGAAAAATTTGGACCTTGACCTAAGTTGGGATTGGTTCTAATGAATGTACTAGCTGGTCCTGTCTGGCTGAGAGGAGTATATGCAACACAGTCGTTTACCCCACCTGAAGGGTTATAATTTCTGAGAGGAGAGTGGGAGTGACTATCTTGTGAAATGGTCCTGTTTTGAGTAGATGAAGTTCATGAATTAAAATGCTTAGATTAGCATTTTCTTTCTTGTAAAGACTCAGAATATACTTCTGCCTCTGTGTTACAAGCATTAAATCACTTTATGTCAGTCACATCTTTTTCTGCTCCTCTTTGTAAATAGCAGTCTTTTATAACATCCTTGAGATACGAAATCCCAGTGCTTTCATGACTCTTGCTGTCAAATCATATTTCTTTGCTGAATCTTTGCTGGCAATCTGAATCTTACCTAAATTGTTACGCCTCATTTGTGGCAACAGATGAGTAAAATATATAACTGCTTCTTTGACATCTTGCTCATGGTAGAAAAGTGTCTTGTGTTTATCAATCTTGTTTTAAATATATTTGAATCCTCTGTATCTTTCCTTGTTCAGGCAAGACTTCTTCAGCTGAGGAGAGCTGAAGATTTGCCCTGAATGATTTAATTGTTTAAAAATGTCCACAGGATTGATTTGATAAACTAGCTGCAAATACATCTATGTAATTCACAAGACAAACAGTGCACAGGTTAACTTGTACTTACGTCTCGCACAAACTTAAGTTGGTTAAGAGTGAGACAGCTTTTAAGTGAAAGCTTAGTTTGGCAATTCTGAACCAGAAGCAGCTTGCCATGCTAGTCTTCAGTGGCTCTACTTCAATTCCACAGTCCTCTTACCTGTGGTACATTGGGTTGTTTAAATATAAGTAGTTATTCTTAGAAGGGCCACGTACAAGCTGTGTGTGTCTTGTTGCTATTTATAGCTTAGTACTGTAATGAGGCAATGAAAAGAAAGAGGTAATTCAAAACTCCAACACTACAGATGACCTCGAACTGCTAACAATACTACTCCAAATGTATTATGAGTGTCTTGACATGCTGAAAATGTGTTTGGATTGTCATTTGATGTACTGCTTATAAATTTTTGAAAGCTTCATGGAAACTTGTAAACCTTGTTTGAATAACCCATGAAGTTTCTAGTCCCGTGTGACTCGTGTAACGCTATCTGTAGAACAAGAGCATTTGAGGTCTTCTACCTCATGAATCTTCGTGAGAACTCAGGATACAAGCTGTCAGCCTTGCCTTTGAGCAAAATTGTTACAGGGTAACCAGTTACCCTGAATCAGCTGCTACACATGAGTTGTCTTTATTTTCTTAGTATGTGGCTTTGTGTGGGTAAATTCAAACAGGCATACCTACCTCTTCTTGCTGAGGGGCAGCTTGCCTGAAATTAGCCTGCATTCATCTCAGGTGTAATAGGGTACGCCTACATAGCAGACATATGGAAACTTAACATGTGGTAACTTCTGTATGTACCCGTGCCTTATAAAGCAAGTGAGCAAACCTGACACTACATTTCTACTTCCATATTCTCTCCTCTGAGTGAAAAGAAAATAGTAGTTTTGGTTTTTAAAAAATACATCTTTTTCAACCTGAAAAGTTAAGATATTTATGTGAAAGATATATGAACTTAAGGTGGCCATAGCAACCTGAAAGTAAAGAAATTAATGAAAAAAAATTTGTTCAGGTTTGCTTTGTGTATTTGGCAAATACTCATACGCAGTCGGCTACACTGATTCTCCTGCATAATCAATTTCTGACTTGCATAAAGATGCCTATTAATATCAAAATGGACTGGAATAAACTCTTTAGAAAACAACTGAAAATATGCTATCAGAAACAATTCAGCATTTCTAAAACATTTTCTCAGTGTTTTTAATCTCAGCCTCTTAAAATGACTAAGGTGTATTTGTCCATTGTGGAGCGGGCCAAATTACTGTAGACCTCTCATAGAGGAAGTTATAGGCCTGCTGCATGCGTATGATGACTCAGTGCCTTCACAGCTGCAAAGCTTTTATATGTACAACAGCACATCCCTAACACTTGCACGGCACTTCTAGTGGAGTGACATTGTCATAGAATTAAAGAATTTTCTTACTACAGACTTAAGACAACTGAAGAGAATGAATCTTACTGACCTCTCTAGGTAAAAAGAAAGGAAGGCGAAGAGGTATTAGTATGCTAAATAATAAGGAGGAGAAACAGACTCTGCTGTCCATCTTTCTAGTAATCAGGTGTGAAGTTTCTCGAACAAATGGCTGAACTTTGCAGTTTGGGACAGAACTAAAGGATAGAAATATGCAGGCCTCCCCATTGCATTTCTGGAACCCTCGTTTGTTGCTCTGGATTGGAGTGGGATTGTTTGGAGTTAGAACTGGGAACAGCTGTACTTTTACCTTTTCCTCTCATCAGGTGACATGAGCCAGTGGCAAGGCTGTGGAATCTCCTCAGTTGTGAAATACTGCCTGGCCCTGAGATCTCCCCATTGTTTCTGTAATTAAGTAGTTCTTGCCTCATTAAGAAGACCGTTCATAAAATCCAACTGAAATAAGTTGCCTTCATTCCATTTCTGTAGGACATCCCCAGTGTCTACTTAAATTCTGGCTCTTCTACATGGTGCTCCTCTGTGAGGAGAGTTTGTTCCAGCCGGTGTCCATCAGGCATGCTTTATAAGGGCGCATGTTAGAATATATGTGTGTGTCACTGAGAAGACACGGAATGTTTTTGGGCATATGACGAGTATGAAATGCAAACTGTAACTCTGAGCTTTACTCTTACCTTGTTCATTAAATCTTCTGCTCTTCAGTTAGTCGTTGGGATGGCAAAAAAGGAATATGCAGGCTTAAAGACTTGTAGATCTTGATTGTGTTGAATGTAGGATCGAGGAGGTGATGGAGATGTGAAGACGCCTGTCAACTGGGCTATGAAGCTGAGATAGAAAACCTAGAGATATGAAGAATAAGGGGACAGTTAGATAAAGAGCAACCGTGAGAGCAAATACTTTATCCTCCCTGCCCCCCACTGTTTATGAAGAACTGTAACTGGGAGGGAAAACCAGTGATAAGTTTTAAGAATGTTGCTTTTGGTTTTGTTTTTAAGTTTAGTGTTCTTTAATTGTGCTTTGCTTTTTTCATACTGGAAAAAACGTGCATGCCTTTTGGAAAATAAATGTAGCTAGGAAAAGTGCTAGATCTTTTGTCTTTTATGTATTTCCTAGAGCTGTAAGTCTTGACCTTCCTTTCACCTAGTTTTCACTTCTGATTTTGTATTTTAAAGAAATTCTGGAGAACTAGTTAAAAAGCTTTTTATGAACAAAACCATTGCCATTAAACTGCTTTTTTTTTTCTTCAAAAAAGAATAAAGAAACGCCTGTGTCCCATATCTCAAAAGCAGCATGTCCAATTAACCTCAAACTTCCTAAAAATATTCTCCTTTGTCTTGAAACCAAACATGAAACATCCTCCTGTTCCCCACCCTACCTCTCTCAGAAGGAGTAAAAGGGAACTGGTCTTATACTGGAAACCATCATAGCAGCCATAACTGGGCAATCATAACTGTCTGCATAATAAAGCTGCCTAATACATATTTTATTCAGTATAATAACTGTTAGCCTATAAATAGCACAGTGCTATGAGTATAATGCTTGGGAATATTGTTTGCCACTTGTAATTGTTAAATGCTTTTTTTGGGGTTACTCCAAGCAGTTGTTCTTTTGACTTGAAGATAAAACAATTCTGGCAGAGCACTAAAGGAGTTTCATGCTTTCCCTCATTAAGAATAGTGCTAATGGCACGCAGGACGTTTCCCCAAAGGACACTTGCATGAGCTCAAACACTGAGTATAGCACTAATTGAACAACAACAAAAACTGATGACTGTTTTCTACACATTTCTTAACAGTACAGATTGTCCCAGGGGATGATTAAACAAGCAAACAAAGAGATACTGAAATAATGAAGTCTTTTTTTAATGTAGAGCTCTCCATTTGTTGTTTTAGAATGTTCTGCTTTGTTGATATTTTTAAAGCTTTACTATTTGTAATATAGAATTCCTGCTCCTTTGCCCCACTTTGCAATGTATACCTTATATATCCTGTGAGGAAACGTGTACTGTTTCTTTAAAATTGTGAGACACTGTGCAAGAAAAGGGCTGAAAAAGATTGTATGGATTTATGAAGGGGAGGAAGAAATATTTGGGGATTTTATATATATATATGTGTGTGTGTGTGTGTTTGGGTATTTTATATATATATAAAAAAACCTTTAAAATACTAAGGAAAATATCAATAGTATACAGGAAAGACCTGTATGAGCCTTGAAGATATGAAAAAGGGTGCTTGGCAACCAATGTTAGGATTTATGCAATTATTCTAAGCATGTTCTAAATCTACTCTGCATAAATGTAAAATATGTGTAATGCAGAGGGAGACTAAAAGTTGTGTGATATGTTGGCATTGTGCGGGATTGAATGGAGTACCTTTTTAACATGATTTTATTAAATGAAATCTCTAGCTATTTGAAGACTTACTAATTTTTTTTTTCCTTAACAATAAGGGCGTGTGAGAGAACTGTAAGGCTTTTGAGGTGTTAAATTATTTTCTATAGGGCAGCTGACTGCAAAACCTCTTGGAGTGATGGTTTTAACTACGTGCTGATATTTTTACAATGAGGTCATGAGATTCTGCTGGGAGCAAATATAGGTGTGGTATTATCTGCACAGCTGATAGCTGTACATAAGACAAAATATGGAATGAGGAACCC